AGGAGCCGCTGCGGGTGGTGGCGAGGATGAGGACGTGGGTCTTCCTGGAGAGGTTGTAGGAGAAGGTGGGGCTCTCCTCGCACAGCCTCTCGGCCGCATCAGCGTCCTGGCTCGGGCTGCAGTTCACGGGGTTGGGGATGGGGCAGCTGTGGAAGGACTTGGCGGTGAAGGTTCGGATGGCCGTGTACTGGATCGCGATGGATGCCAAGGCTAGTAGGAGGACAGCCTTCCAGGAACATTGCATGGCTGGTCACCTTCATGGAGCTTCTTCACAGGTCGTCTCGGTGTCTGCAAGCCAAGAGAGAAGTCAGGTGTTGAGCAAGGCCTGCCAAGGAGGACCCTACAGCTAAGGGTGCCAAGAAACGCCCTCCCAATGTCTGCAATCACATGGATCCCCCTCACGCACTGCAGAGCCCCACTTCAGAGGAGAGGAACACCAGGCAGAGGCTGGCAAGCCTGGAGGGACAGCCAGGACTTCAGCCCCAGGGACTGCATTCCTTCCAGGCTGGGGGCGTGCCCCACAGCTCACCCTGAGTCCCGTGGCCCAGGTAGGGTGATATAAAAGCCTGGTGGCCACACCATCTACGTGCCTCCAACCAGCTGCTGCACACCCTCCTCCCCAGCTGCCTGGTAAATCACTTGTGACCCCATCAGCCAGAGCCTTCAACACCTAGAGCTGGAGCCGTGGCAGAGACACAGCCAGGGGATGGTGCCAAGCAGCACCTGCAGAGGTTTGTCTCCATCCATTCTGTCCAACTGGCTGCTGCCCACGCGTGGGTGAGGATGGGGAGGCTGCTGGGGTGGGGTGCTCAGAGACAGCTCAGTGTGGAGCACTGCTGCCCTGCCTGGGGGGCTGCAGCACTGCCGGGAGGGGATGTAACCCTGGTGGTGCCTCAGCACCTTCCTCCCTGTTCACCAACCAGGTAACACTCACAGACTGCCCTCCTGCTCTCCAAAGCACAGCCATGGGCTGTCACTCTCCAAGGCTGGTGGGGCTGGGCAGCAGGAGATAAGACTCATCCCAGAAACTCCAAACAAGCCAAAACTCCTGTGCAGGGGAGACAGCCCAGTATTAGCAACACCTCTGAAGCTCCCTTGCACCCACTTTTCCATCTGTTCTGTCATCCCCACGCCTTGGTGTGGTCCCTTCACCTGCACACGTGCCCCTGTAGCCACCTGCCCACCCTCCTCAGGCCCTTCTTTCCTCCAGCATCATTCCCAACGTTGCACCAAGGTGTGTTGTCCCCATCTCCTGAACACACCCTGCTCTCTGGAGAGCCCCTGTCACCCAGCGAGTGCTGCCAGGAGTGCTGCTCAGACCTGCAGATGAGTGAGAAACCTCCTTCCTTTTTCTTTTTTTTTTTTTTACTAATTATTATTTTTTATTATTTACCAGTTGCCCCATGTGAGGAAGTGGCATCTGGCCATGGGGTCAGTCACAGATGCTTGGATACTGCTGCTTCTGGTCTGGGGTTACCCACCTTGCAGAGGGGAAACCTATTTCTGTTCTGTCCCTTGGATAAAGTGGTTTTTCCAGGTTTGCTCAGTCAGGGCAGGACAGGAGGGTCCCTTCTGGCATCTCATGGCCTTGGGAATGCTTTTCTGCTCTCTAGTGCTGGCCAGCCACACTGCATCTTTCACACACAACCTCAACTTCCACTCCTTGCTGCGCTCCTAATGGATGCTGGAGCAGATGCCACTCAGATTGTCCTGGGACGTGGCAGAACTCTGCTGCCAGCTCCTCTAGCAACAGGCAACCAGAACCCAGGTGCCTCCTTGGTCCCTGTCCCTGCTGGATGGATGGCTGCGATCCTTTCAGGTCCTCCACCCACCCAGACCTGAGTGACAGCCAGGGAGGGGCAGGTTTGGGGAGAAGGCTTCCCTCCCTTCTGTCTCATCCGTGGCTTTTAAAGCCAGGCAGAGCTTCCTCCCAGCCCCCAGCCAGCTCTCTCGCCTCCTCCCATTGCTGCCTCTCCCCAGGGGGCTGTGGTTCCCACTCAGCCCAGCCAGGGGCTGGAGCATGCTGCAGGAGGATGTCTCCTACACACACATGCAGCAGGACAGCCGCTTGGGCTCCCGTCCATGCTGTGAGGGGCTCTCTTCTTAAATGGGCTTGTTCCTCTCCAAGGGGTGATTCTGGGGCCAGCCGTGCAGACCAGCAGCTGGGGCAGAAGCCGGGCCCGTGGGGGGCTGCTGGTGGAGAGTCCTGGGGGAGG